CACTGACAGTTGTCCAAGGGGTGAAAAGAATGTTTTAAATTTAATGCTCATTCATAATGTATCTTCCATCATTCTTTTGCTCTCTCTCTCTCTATATATATATATATGTATATACATATACATATTTTACTAGTATACTATAACAATTAAGGGTATTAGATGTATGTATAAATATAGTCTATAGAAAGAAATGAAGGTTGAATGTAAATAAGCATTAAATGGGAGAAATGGACATCCATTATACACACACACACACAAATATATAAGGAAATAGTGTATTCTGCAACACAATAGACTCTATTTAATAATTCTTGCATTGGTTTATAAAACTCAAAAGAACACAGTTAAATGAATGGCAATTGAAAGCGCGTGATGGATGCGTCCCTTATAGCATTTAAATCTCTTCCACTTGATTAAAAATTCCTAGTTCCTCTTCACTGAATTCTTTAGAGTTTTTGAGCAGCCTCTGCCCTGATTAAAACAAATTAGCATCAAAGATCCCCTGTTGAATGAGAAATCATTAATTGAGAAACATGCAATGCTCCTTAATTACCTTTAGAACAGTGAGAGAACAAATAATCTCAGGTTCCAGAGGGGCCTGCCTGCTCTGCACTGTGGGCTCATTTCGGGTAGCTGCTGGAATAAAACTCAAGTTGCGAACACTATTGGGGAATATCAATGCAAGCTTCAGTAAACACACTGTAGATTGTTTATCTAAAAGAAAAATATCTAGGTAATGAATAACCGGAAGAGGGGAAAATGTTTTAGTGTATTATTTTGTTGACAGCTTTAAAAGTGTTTTACCTATGCCAATATTGATTGAGGAAATAATGTGAGTGCTGTTCTTTCTGATACAAATTTTAATGGTTTGTGTAACATTTTATTTATGTAATTACCTAATAAGATTTCACATGCTTATGTACAGATGAGTAACTTTATCATTTAACAGGGGAACAGAAAGCACCAAAGTGTTAAACTTCACAAAATCCAGCTACATACAGATGGAAATTCAAATTCTGACTGCACCGTAGTCATTCCTTCATTTATATACCAACACAATAATGACGACAGTTTCCCTAGGGCAGCGAGATATGATGCACCCCTCCATCTTCAAAATCTGGAAAACATTTAATAATAACCCATAAGAGTGTACTAGAAAACCAAATTGTTATAGGTGTTATGAAACATAAAGAATGTTCCGAATGCTCATACACAGTGCCCCAGGGAGAGCCCTCTGAAGACAACAGTGGTGTGAGGCTGGATGTGAGTTCTGAAGACTCTAGAAGCACATTCCTCACAAGCACTCTGGAAGAAAGCAGTGTTCTCATTTTTCTACACGGGGTGGATGAAGCATGGTGAAGCTGAGTTTTTCAGCTGAGCAGAGAATTTTGGTTTTATTTTAGTTTTCCCAGATCTCCATTTTAATCATTAGTTCATGCTTCCTCAATAGACCCTGAAGAAAATGGACAGAATTGATTCAACTAGCTTTATTTATTTATCTTTGGATATTTTTGGCTCACTGTATAGTTTGCAGACCGCGTCAGATCAAATAAAGCACAACACTCCCAAACTATGCTGCCATATAAGATCTATGTTAATGTGATTAAGATCTGATTTGGGATATGTGCATTTAATTTTTAGTGGCATGAAGTGACATGTCTTACAAGTTGAATTATACTTTATACCAACAATCTTAGTAGACTTCAAGCTTTGTAGAAGTTATTAATCATTGTTCTTTGTCTTGTATCCCACCAAGATGATAAACTTGACATTGCCATGATCTTTGCAATGTTGGTCTGTTAGAACCAACATTGTAAGGGCGATTATCAGGACTCCATCGAGAATATGTACACAAATTAATTTGCACCAAAAAAAGAGAATATTATTATGAACTGTATTAATGCAGCACAGAGGACCATAAGCACGGTTGTAGTATTTTGATACACTAGAAAACTTTTTTTCCTAAGGGGTTCCCAGGAATGTATGTGCTTTTTTGGCTATTCCACAATAATTCTCAAAATTCTCATTTAGGCAAAACCAAAATGGTTCAGATATCACTTATAGTAATTATTAAGAAAAAGATAGTGACATAACCATCTTCTGGATATCATTCAGAAAAGGAAAATTATGTCACTAACACATTACTTATTATGTATAAAAACCACAACCCAGACACCCTAATATGTCATCATAGACAGAGCCTTCTGAGGAACAAAATGATGCTATTAGGTAGTTATCCCTTATCGAAAGGGTGCTTCCTTCAACAGCCCAGGCTGGTTGATTTTTTTGCACTGGAAGGTTAAATTGCAGCTGTCACTTCAGAAATTAGCAAGGAGTGGACATTGGATCCTCAGAGTTTGTTCCCTCTTCCAACTAGCTCCCCTGCACATAAATGTTTGGAGAGGCTGTATTCTTTTATCCCTGACAGGGCAATGAGCTTCAAATGAACCTAGAGTTTGGACTCCCAGAAGGGAATAGTCTTGATAAGTAGCATATCCCGTTTGCCATTATCTATTTGTGTTGCAAGGTAATTCATTTCAGGTTGAAATCAAATTGTTTTAAGCTGAGCTGGTGTTTTTATTGGTGTCCTTCCAGCCGGCCTTCCCTTTTAAGTGCCATCGTATTTCAAACAGGCTGATCTAAAGGAAAAGATTACTGCTGCCAACGTGCATTGTAACAAGGGAACGAAGATGTGCAAGACTTATTTTATGTTGTTTTTTTTTTTTAATTTTTAAAGCGCTCATAGAGGTGTGAGAGTGCTGGTCTGCTGGGGGAATGAGCCAACTAGTCGATGAAAGGAAAGATGTGCGATGATGGACAAGAAAATCTAGCCCAAGTTGTTAGTATTTGCTGTAAAACTGCCACCTAAAGTTGAGGAAGGTAATACTTAAAATATGTAAAAGACATTGTAAAAATCCTGAAAAGAACAACTGTAAACCATCAGGCAACACATACCATTGATTTCAATTGCAAAGTAGTTATTTGGGAACTTTGGCACATATATGTACTTTAGTGTTACCCCTACCAAAAGAATAAAAATAAAAATTCAAAGGACAAATCAATGCTCATGAGTCATTAAATTTAAACTTGGATCTTTTCATAGTAAAAAGAAGAAAACATTTAACTATGATCTACTTTCCATTTCAACAATAACAACAAAAACCCATTACAAAACCTATGTGAGGTAGTGAGCGTTTTTCTCCTAGTCTACTTAGAATTGGTATAGACAACTGGTCCGTGGTGTTTTAAAAAGAGTTGGCATTTGAGTTCAAATTTGTCTGTGTCCCTACCACACAGAACCTGTTCTAAGATCACTTATACATCACAGGAAAACACAAAATTTAACATATCTTTGGGCAACATGGGCTGTAGAAGCACAAAGGACTGTTACGAGAATTTGCTCGCTAATGCTCTTTTCCTAGGCGGATTTTCTAGAGCAGGATCTCCTATCTGACCATGCACACAGCCAGTTTAAAGAAGCTTATGCTTAAACAACTATCTTGCCTGAGTGAAAATACCACTTCTGCCAAAAACAACATCGGTTAAAGCTTTCGATGGTGAGTAGAACACAGTGTTTCTGCAATGGTCTTGCAGGGGGTTGATTTCTTGTTCAACTAGAACTGCTCCACACCCAATCCTTGAATGAGGAAGAATTAAGTCCTCAGCAAAAGGTGGATGCCATGGGAGGTAGGCAGGTTAGAATGGAAGGTGTGTTGGGGAGGGTGTAGTTTATACAAGCTCATTCAATATTATAATGTAGTTTCATATTTGGAAAACAAAATGCTTGCTGTTTTCCTAGTAGGGCTGGGAAAGTAAGGCCCAACAATATCTCTGCTGCTGTGTCCATGTCAGGTACTCTGATTCTACACAAGTGAGGAAGCATGCTAGAATTTGGAGAGGGGATTTCATTTTTATCAGAAGGGCTATGGGCTGTAGCTAAAAGAATGTCTATCACGCATGTCATGCATGTCAGACACTCACCAGTGATTTCTGTAAAAAAAATCCATTTAGGCCAAAGAAAAATCAGTTTTGAGTTAAATTCTCCAAGTCTCCTCATAGCCACTGACCAATCCACCATCAAAAGCTGAAGAGGAGAGTGTGCAAGGCCTGGGCGTTCACAGAGCCGCTGCTGCTCTTTGTTGCCAGGGAAAGGGGCTCCAGGATTCACCCTTCAGGCACATCTACAGCCTCTGCAAGCTTTTCTCTCTTTTCTGAAGCTTCTGGGAGATGCCAGCCAGGCTGGGCACACTTCTCAGGCTTGGGTGGGCTTCTTGATCCCAGCCCCTGCCCTGGCCTGACCTCCAGGAGGAGTGAGGGAGGGCTGCTGGGAGGAGGAGACCACCACTCCATCTTCCAGAGCACAGGCAGGGCCAGCCTCAGGGTTAGGCCTCAGGTCAGGGTCCTGGCAGAGGGCCTGGTCCAGGCCCTGAGCCCCAGAGGGGTCCTGGGTGCTCGGTATTTCTGTGGAGGGTTGGAGGGGAGAGAAGTGTTTGGATCCTCTTTGGTTTTCTCCTTCCCAGCAACCCTGATGGGGACCTCGCAGAGCAGTGCCACTGATGGAAAGCACTTGGGGACCAACCCCCAGCTGGCCAGAGAATGTGCAGGCTTCCCCAGAAAACACCTCGGCCATACCAAGGCTGTGCTGCTCTCTGAAGGCTGACTTGTATTGTAAGAAAGAACAATTTCTATAAACACAGAACATGTGGCCAGGGGCACAGACCCTCGGTTATAGCTGGAGTCCTGGCCGCTCAGGCTTTTGTGAGTTTTGCCTTCCATTCTCAGGAACATTCGAAATGCTCAGCAGGTTTTTCAAAGAGGACACAAAGGATAGGCCTGTGAAAATCAGGTGAAGAAGGAAAGAGTGAAAAATGCATTTTGAATGTAGAAATTCAAAAACACAAATTTTACAACCAAGTCTTAGATGGAGAGGTGCTTTTTCAAGTTCTGAGTGCTTCACCCTGTGTCATCTTAGAAGGGTAAAAAAAAAGTCACAAAGCTGCTTTTGGCAGTGGGGGTTTGAAGAGCCAATGTTTTTATTTCAATAATTAAAGTCCTGATTAATATAGCACATTATACCATAAAATGTTGGCTTTTTAAAGCAGGTTTGAACTTTTACACAATCTGTTTTTAATACTGGCATGTACACCTGTGTACATACATACTGACAATAACTATAGTTCAAATTCTTAATTTAAAAATTTGATAAAACTAAAATGTTAAATGTACACTATAATGAAAGCAGTGCTGTCACACCAACCAGATAGTTTGTATCCTTTGGAAAATTATTGAAAGCATTTTGAGTTAGAGTGGTAACTTTTTTATTGAAAGAACTCCGTCTAACCATAGACAAAGGCAGCGCTTTGGCCCAGCGAGGTGTTTCTGTAATCTGCCTAATGGTAAGAATAACCGAGGGCTTAGTAAGAATATTGCTCTCGGGGCCATCCCCGTCTGGAATCTGAATGTCTAGAAGGGAAGGTGGGAATCTCCACTAACCCAAGGAATTCTTATGATCAAGTAAATTCCAAGCTCACCCTGGTAAATGGCAAATGGTTTGGGAAGTTAATTATTTTTAAAGTGTAGGTGGGGAGAATTAGTATATTTGATGAGTTTTCATTTTTTAAACCTTTTCAAACTACAAATCACATTTCAAATCATAGATTTATGTTCACTGAAAAAAACATGTATCGTGTATGACAACAAAATGTAAGTACTGACCCCTTCTTGCCTAATTTGTATGCAAAAGGCAACAATTGATGCTCTCATCTAAATGTCAGTAGTTTTTAAAATACTCTACTAAAACCATACAGACTTAAAAAGAGTCAAAGCCTCTATAGATCCAAATATCAGAGTAGTTTTTTAGAAATCCCCATATCCTAGAAATATAGGAACTTAAGATATTCAGGAAGTCTTTTGCACAAACCTACCTGACTTTTGCCTACGGTGAAAAGATGCATGAACATTAATAGATGAATTCATAAAACAATTGGTAGAAAAGAGTGGCCTGGTGGCCCCAGCTACGCTGCATCCAGGGCCCTGCTGTAGGGGAACGTTATGTCTGTTACCTTCTAGCATCACAACAGCTCTGCAAGGTGGGAGTCATGACCTCCCTTTGCAGGTGGAAAGGCTGAGGCTTCAAAAGGTAAAACTTGCCCAGCACCACATACCTCAAAGCTGGGTCCCACACCTGTTCTGCAGCCTGTGTGCCAGCCTCACTCTAAATGACCCTAAGGCATGCACAGCAGTCAGTCACCTCTATCTTACTGAAGCCAAAAGAAAACGAGATATTAATGGTGAGTACAGCAAGTATCAATTGCATATTTAAATATGTCCTATTTGAAGTTTCTATTAGTGTTAATCTATCTGACATCTATCTAGATATGGCATCTATTTTCCTTCTCTGTGTATCACTAAAATAAATATTCATTTAAAGCAATTATGAGAATCTTAATTCACTTAAAATTTATTAAATCAATTTTTAAGCATGTGCAAATTCTTTTCCAACAAGAACTTCCTAGCTGTACAAATAGTGTCCCCAGGTTAATTTTTACAACTCCATTCTATGTAACCAAAATTTGTTCATCCTTGGCAGAATAAAAAATTATAAAATCTAAAGAATTTTTCAAAGTCATTTTAAACTGAAATGTTCAGAATTCCATAAAGGTAAGTTTTCAAGAGAATCAGTCATTTAACTCCTAACTTCTAGGAACCTATCTCTATATTCCTGTGACTTGAATCTTAAAAAAATGAAAGCATCCAAATTTAAAGTATTTGGGATATAGGGGGAAAAAACAAGACGCAGATTCAAAGTGATTATTCTTGATCCTTGATGTCTTTTAAATCTACTTTACCTGAAGGCAAAAATCTTTGATAAGTTGAGAATACATTGCATAATTAGTCACAGAGTAAGAAATATTTGGCCCAGAAAGGTATAGTATGACTTTAACTTAACATTGCATTATGTCCCCAAATTCTCCAAAATTTGAATTTTCAAGTTTTAACAACCCAGTGAGATTTGAGGTAGATAAAACTTGACAATTCTTTCACAGTAATACTATTAATAGTTGCTGAGCCTCTGTAAAAACATAGCTGATACAGATTTTACATACAAGTCTGTATGTTTTTCTATTTTTGTTATCTAAGCTTTCTCCCATGACAAATGTTAGAAAATAAAATAAATTGGCCAATTGCTTTATTTTTCAATGATTATATCTTTGTAATCACTAGTTTCGTCAATTTATTTTTCCATGAGAAAAATCAGCATTCAAAGAGTCCAAAAAGAAGCTGATAAAATTACCTGATTGTTTTTAGGAGACATTTACAAACTTAGCTCTCTGTTTTTTTTAAGAGAGAAAATATCATAGGGAAGTAGAAACAACCAGTGCCCTCACCCTCCAAAAAACCCCCACAGGCTATAGAAAAAATTAATAAAATTACTGTAAGAATTTGTCTTATTTTTAATGCATGGAAAATACCAAATTATCATGCCAACATAAGGAATATATACTATAATTCATAAATGCCTAATTATCAAAAAAATGACATAGTCATGGTTAGATGCAACCTAGCAATCTTATATAAGATGCAACTACATATTGTATGATCATTCCTATTATATATTACATTCAATCCTCATCAAATTAAGCTATGTATAAATGGCATTATGAAATAAACATTTAATATCACAATAGAGTCTTATTTTGCTACTGTACAACCATGGCATGCAAATAACTATGCATTAGCTGTAAACAGTGAAGTATCATTACCTTCCAGAAATCCAAAGAACGTGAAAAGTACGTGTATGGTACTAAACGTCAATTATATTTAAATTACTTTCATATTGAACCAAACTATATCATATACAGCAGCTTTGGATATCACCCTCACAGTTCTTACATATATCCTGTAGTCACCCTGAAGTTAGGAAATGGCAATTCCAAACTACTTCTGTTAATGCTACTGAGCTTTAGTGAACCGTGGTCAATATTAGACACGAATGATTCTACATTTCAATGTGAAGGCTGTTTTATTGTATTTTCCTTCCTGCCATAATTCAGAGATTTGAGTTATTAAGAATAAGCTGAATGTGGGCAATAATGAACATACTTTCTCTCATGACACCAATGCGTTCACGTTAGAAGTAGGAATGCTGTTGATGTCCGCCAGCGAATGTGATTCTCTGCTTGTATTCTGTGTGAAATAGTTGGCAGGAAGGAACTTGGGTCATATTATAACTTGAGAGGGGTCACCTCTAAAATATATTCCATAACATTTGTAAAAGGTAGACAAAATCTAGCAGTTAGGAGAGGAAGGCCAAAAGAAAATGATTTATTCTTACAAAAAATGCAGATGGATCATTTAGGTCTGATCCAGTGATTCCGAGGCAATTAAAACCATTACCATATTGGAGCAGAAGCTTGCACACTGTAACATAACTATTGCAGCCCTCTTCACATTGTGGTATTGGAGGCTGTTTTTTTGGAAGGAGTAGAAAAATTGATTGCTGGACAGGCTTCTCCATGCTCTATCAGCTCTGATAATGAGTTAGGCAGTTGGCATGGACGATAGGAATGTCCTCCACACTCAGAATTCTAATAAACCTCCTGTGAAGTTGTACCTACCATCCATCCGGATGGACTCAGTCTGGTCTGTATTCCAGTGAGGTGGAAAACTGTCACGTTTTCAAACTAAGTTTGGACATGATATGGCCATGTGAAATATTTAAATACATTACCTACATCCTACTAAATCAATATCTTGCTTTCACATTTACAATGAGATAAAACAGCATTTAAAGCCATTGCAATTTGTTCATTTCCTGTTCATATACAGGTGATTTAAGTTTGCTTATGAGGCAAAAACTGTACAATTCTTATCATTCAGGCATTATAAAATGTCTCTCTTTAAAGTCTTGGATATAAACAGTTGATTTATACGAATTACATATTTTTCATCTTCATTAAGAAACAATATACATCTTTTTCCAGAGTAATTTAATGTTAGCTATAATAAGCCTAACATAGTTGTAAAAACTGACTTTATCACCTGTGACCATCTATATTGTTACTTTTATAAAACTCATGAACATTCTTTGGCCACTTGGGTCAGTGCCCATTTGAAGGAAACTGTACTTGTGCCCTGGATGATACAGAGGTTTGCCTCCATAAAATCTGAGGCCAGAGAACAGCTTTTAACAGAAGCCAGTTACAAAATAAAACATTACAGAATATACAGGAGTGGTTTCCATTGCTCAGACACAAGTTCCTTGACGTGTCGAGAGGTGTTTTCGATTTCGGACTCCCGAAGTCTTGTCTTTACTATCTGAAGGTTTCTGTTGTGAAATGTCTATTAGAGCACTGGCAATTGCAAGGCCTGGAAGAAAGAGAGGAAGGCATTTAAATGCTTGCTTAGACATTTCTGTGCTGGCGACAATGGTGGCTTAGTGCCCTGTTTTCTATTGCTTTACATTTAGTCATCAAAGGTTTGGCTGCTTATTGGAAGTTATCAAGTAGTTTGCCCTTTGTCTAAAATGTTTCTTAACTTGGACTGTTAACTTCACACATGAAGAACAAATATCGAAGAAAGTTAACTGACTCTCACTTTGGACAGCCAAATTCAGCGTTTGACAAAACATCACCTTCAGTTGTGAATATGACTCCATACTGTAGTATCTGTGTCTAAACACAAATTTGCTCTGGATGTACTAGGAATTTTCAACGTTACTATTTTGCTTTGTTTTGCTTTTTAGGAAAAAATTCTCATCAAGATTAAAAAAAAAATATATAGCAGTGTTAGGTTAGAAACACTGAACCAATATTGATATAAGATCATCAACTGAAGTCCATAGTTCATGTTAGGGTTTACTCTTTGTGTTGTACAGTCTTGTGGGTTTTGACAAATGTGTGTCAAGTATCTACCATGACAGTGTCATACAGAATAGTTTCACTGCCCTAAAGATCCCTGGGGTTTCATCCATTTATACTTCTCCTTCCCCAAGCCTCTGGCAACCACTGATCTTTTTTTTTTAATGCCTCTGTAGTTTTGCCTTTTCCAGAATGTCATATAGTTGGAGTCATACAGTAAGTAGCCTTTTTTAACATACTTCCATGTCTTTTTTGGGGGGTGGGTGGGGACTGATAACTCATTTCTTTTAATTGCTGAATAATATTCCATTGTATGGGTATACCAGGGTTTGTTCATACATTCCCTTATGGAAAGATATCCTGATAGTTCTTGCTTCAAGATTTTGGCAATTGTGAATAAATCCATTATAAACATCAGTGTGCAGGTTTTTTGCGTAGACTTAAATTCTAAATTCACAAACACCTAGGAATATTATTTCTGGATAATATGGTAAGCTTATGTTTTAGCTTTTTAAGAAACTGCCACACTATGTTTCAAAGTGGCTGTACCATCTTGTATTCTCACCAGCAATGATTGAGAGTTCTTGCTGCTTCACATCCTTGCCAGCATTTGGTGTTGTCAGTGTATTAGATTTTAGCCATTCTAATAGGTGTATAGTTGTATCTCATGGTTGCTTTAATTTGCAATTCCCTAGTGACATATCATGCTGATTATCTTTTGATATATTTATTCTCTATCTGTATATCTTCTTTAGTGAGGTATCTGTTCAGATCTTTTGCCCATTTTAATTGGATGTTTCTTTTTTTGAAATTTTTATTGCAGCATATTATGGGGGTACAAATATTTAGGTTATATATATTGTCTTTGCCCTACCTAAATCAGAGCTTCAAGCATGTCCATCCCCTAAACTGTAGTTTTTTTTTTTTTTTATTGTTGAGTTTTAAGAGTTCTTTGAAGATTTTGGATACCAGCCTTTCATCAGGTATGTGTTTTACAAATATTTTCTCCCAGTCTCTGACTCATTTTTTTCATTCTCTCAAACAGTTTTCAAGAAGTAAGAAAGCGTTCTAGGGTTAGAATTGTGCTATGCATAAATGGACATAGAATAAGGACAACTTATTGAAATTTAGCTGATAAATGTACTAAATAGTAGAACAGAACCAAAAATATTCCTGGTAGAATATGACCAAAAAAAGTGGACCTCTAGTTATCATAGGTAATTAAAAGAATATTGTTTTGTTACATTAATTTGTTTTATTACATTTTTTATGCATTGATTGGTAGGAACATTTGGTGAGATGCTCAGGGATAGTGAAGATATTATTAATATTAAATTTATACAAGCAATAGCTCAACCAAATACTCTGGCTTTGATACGAGTCATTTTAGTTTCTACTGTGTTCCATTTAATTCTTGAGTAAAACAAAATGTGTCAATTCACTATACTAAACTAAGAGGCCAGACTCTTTGGCCTTGTTTAAGAAGAGGTCTCCAAAGGACTTCTGGTTCATTTTCCTTTCTCCAAGGCCTTGGAGACTTGACTTTGAATTGACCTGACCCAATCCCTGAGTCTTCACAGGCATCTTCTCCATATGTTGCTCTTAGAGGAAGGCCTCACTTTTGAATCTTATCCTATGTAAGATGGCATTTGTATTATTTTATTCCTGTGGGTCAATTTATTCTAGGCAAGCTTCAGACATGACCTGGCAATAATCACAACTCCAGAGATTTATGAACAGAAAGAAATGCTAGTGAAGGGACATGACTGCACATGGAAGGTAAACTGGCTGAGTGCAGTGTTGTGGAACTCAAGGGAGGGCCGGGATCAAGGAGTCTATAAAAAGTACCAAACCAGCCAGCAGGGTAAGGCCTATGGCAAAGGCCACTAGATTTCCTCAAAGAAGGTTTGGTGATCTTTCAGTCATTTCTATACCTTGAAGATAAATAAAATTGTTTTCTTGACCTTTGAAAAGCACATGTGAACTTCTAAAGTGCCCAACATAGATAATTTAACCACTTATTCTGCTGTAGTAAATAATTATTTTTGTATTTCTTTAACTGATGGAGCTGAAGGACATTATTATCAATTTTTTGAATCACAGAATTGGGTTGTGTTAACTCAAAGTTCAGGCAGATCTTAAGTCTCCACAGACCTCCTGGCATACCTCCGTCATGATTTACAACTTCCTGCTATTTCATTCCTGGCATCATATTACCTAGAGATGGCCAAATACCACAAATAATATATGTCGCTTTTAAGAGACCACTTATACTAATTTCAATGATCACAACATCCAACTATGAAATCATGTTATTCATTAAATCACTGCAAGACCTAGTCCAAAGAAGCTCTGAAAAATCATACTTTTCCATTTACATGTGGCTGCAAATGTTGTTTGCCTTACAGAAGGTGGAGCACCAGAAGAGAAGTAAACAGTTCAAATTGCCAAAACAGGAAATTCTATGCTAATTCAAAACTGTCACTGTATCTTTGTTTTTCAGGGTATATGAAGTCCAAAGCCTAATTAAAGCAGTATCTCTCACAACATATCTTGGGTTTCTTAATGATTCGGAAGCTTGGAAACACATTCAGTTGAAAATCATAAATAATATTTCAGTTTTAATTTACCAATAAAATTGAAAATCATGCTTATTTTTAGTTTGACAGCTTTTTATCCTTTCCTGTGAAAATGCAACACTCAAACACATTTTCAAAACACATTTGGCAATGTGTATATAGGAAACCTTACATTCCTCCAGGCAGCGATAGATACTTGAGTGTCCACCATGTGCACACTCACCAAGGACGCTCAGGACTATTTGCCTAAAGTCTTACCTTCTCAACGAACCAAATGGTGTTTTCCTTTCAATTTAAGCGTGGATCCTTTACTGGACCACACAGCTTGTGGCCTACCATGAATTATTCTTTATAAATCTTATAATTTAATTATGAAAAGCACAATGATCCTAATAACTACATTTGTGTGTACATGTACCATAAATGCCAAGTATAAAATTTTTATTATTACTTTTGCATTTCTTCATGTTCAATATATGGTGAACCTAAAAAAATAAAATAAAAATCCAAACAATTCAGAAGTTTCTAGGTCTTCTTTCAACCTATAAGAGGACCTGGATATAAGAGCAAATAAGGAAGACCAATTCCTTATCTTCCTGAATTGGATGGCATATGGAAGACTCATTAAAAAAAAAGAAAGAGAGATAAAGTAATCCCCATCATTGCCCTTCAGCACACTTTGTTATTGTAGGAAATCTGCTTTCCTTAATTGATAAAAAGAAAAGTCAGCAGCTCTTGAAAAAGGACAGTATTAACTCCCTCCATCCCCTAAATGTAACATTTATATGCTGGTGAGAGATCAAATAAAGATAATGGCCAGACCATATATCAAAACAGAACTCTGACTCACAACCTACAGCAAAATGCTCAGGAAACCAACCCATTATCTATAATAACCAGCCCAGGAAGCCAGACTGCTACACGTCAGACTTACAGGAAAAGTCAGACTGCTTTCTCTAGTAACAATCCATGAAGACAGACAATAGCCTCTGTAACTGTCAGCTCCAAATGGCCAGCACTTGATTAATAACTGACAGCTTCTCTAATTTTTGTCCCCACTTCTCATTTAGGACCAGACCAACAAAGCCAAATATGCACCCTTACCAATCACAGAAGATGCCCCATCTCTGGTTAGTCCACCTGCAAGTCCCTGCAAGCCACCAGCCTCTAATTAGGGCACACCTGAGGCTTCCTTTTTTTCCCCCACTTTAAAGTTTTCTCACTCTTCCGCCTGCCTTTGAGTCTCTGTCAAAATGCAAGTGACAGCGGCTGACTCCCTTGCTATAGCAAACTCAGAATAAATAGCTTTTGCTTATTTTCGTTTTGTTGGTCTTCCTTTACTTCCACTCTCATGATGAAGAGATAAGAATAGCTTGAGATCTTTTCTGTATTTAAAATATATATATATATATATATATATATGTATCGATAAAATAAAAGCAACCTAGAAACAGGTTCTTTGTGTTGCCCTTTGCAGCACACATTCTCCTGCTTGAGACCCGCCTGAGAATTCCTCCTGGTGGGAGGTTTTCTGGGGACGATCCTGCACTCCACATGCTGTAGGAGGAAGTGCTTCCTCCTGGCCGGTGCTGCGCAGTGGCGCGTGCTGTATACCGTCAGAGTTCCATTAAAATCAGGTCACTCCAGAAGATCATTTTTCAAAACGTCACACAAATCATCTGATGAAACCCACTTATTGTGTTCTCTGGGCCTAGCATAGTTCCTTGTTATCAAAGCAATACAATTAACTGGGGGAACAATTCATTATTTTAGACCGGCGGTCTAAAGGAATTTCATTTACCATGTCAGGATGATGCACAGACGCTGCAGGCTAGCAGAATTTACATCAAAATATACCAGTAGATTCAATAACGTCCTGGGGATTAAATATTTATTATAAGTTTTACCTTTTTGTACTTTTAGTTCTTAA